AATATTTGTACCCATTTTCCTGATGCCAGCATCGAGCAAATATATAGTGAATAATTTACAATATGGAATTCTGACAACTTATGACCAAACATGGTTTATGAAATGACCTTCATCAGGAGATGCAAATATTTTCTACATCAGTGATGCTTTTAACCTTCCCTATAAAAAATTGGCATGAAAATGTATGGAAAACTGTACAGAATTTTACCTGAAATTCGCATTTTTCCATACAAATTCCATACATTTTCCCATACATTTCCATGCAAAATTTTTTATAGGGCTTAGTGAACAATCTATGTTGTTACAAGCTTTTGTGTACATGCAATCTCTTACCCACAAAAATCCAGAATCTCCAACTCCTCCTCCAACTCCATTGCAGTTAGAGATGGGCATTATGCAACTTTTTGAACATTGATTTGCATAATGCACATAATGCACATTATGATCTTTTCTATAACTGATTTATTTAAAAGTATAAATTTTATTCTTTGTAAATATAACAAATATAACCTAAATAAAAAAATTACCTTATTAAAATAAAATAATTATTTCTTAATCATTTTCATATCCATCTAACTCATATAATTCAATTGTGGTATCTGACTCATTTGATCCATTTATCACTTTTTCATCACCTTCCTTAATCTCATCATTTAAATTCCCTTCCACTTCTGATAATTCATTATCTTCATTTTCATCCTCATCTATATCAATACTACAACATTTTTGTGGCTGCTGTAATTTATAGTTACTATAAATATAAACAACTTAAACACTTGTTCTGAGGTTAAATGATTGTGTTTTTTGTCATGAATATATGAAAAGGCTGACCAATTGCACTCAGAAGCAGCAGAAGATGAAAGAATCCTTAAAATACATAAAGCAATCTTTGTTAGTTCAGGAGTTGAATATTGGAATTGACTTTTCCACCAAGTTATAGAATCTACAGCATCAATTGATGCTCAACTAAGATTATTAAGCAGAGGCATAAAGTAATTTTTTCAAAAAATTTGTGTAACATCACACATGTTCATTATTCATTGGGCATTTTAAAAAATCCAGTGCGTATTATGCAATTTTGCCCATCTCTAAGCAAGATTAGTCAGTTCAGGGACAACTAATGAAAAATTCCCTTTCCACCATGTTATCAAATTTGCTTCATCTATAGTTGACCATGTTAAAGAATTGTCAAACAAGCCAGTATGTTGTTTATAACATAGTAATTGTGACCAAATTTTTTTTGAGTCATTTGGATAATATTTCATAATAAAAAAAAAATTTTAAATTTTTTTGCATTACATTTATTACTATGTACAAAAAAAATTACATGCGCATTGGAACATCTCTAACTATACTATAACAGGTGGCGAATTTTGAAAATGTTACAAAAATAGTGAGGTTTTATACCCTTATAACATTTGCTAGTAAGTTTAAATAAAAAATCTGGCTGCAACAAATTATTCACTGACTTCTAAATAATCATTTGGTGTAATTATATTTTTTTTGGTAAGCCAATAATAGTTGATGGTTTTTACAGTCATCCACTGTATAACCTCAACTTTCGATAGTCAAGCACAACTTTAAAATCAGCTTGGGATTATGGGTATAAAAATACAATATTTGAATAAATTCATTTATAATAAAATTGCAATAAAAGCTATTTATTTGTTTTTTTTTTACTTTTTAAAATAATAATAATGATAATTATTATTTTTTTAAAATTATTTACTTTTAAATAAATAATAGTATGGTGCGCCGCATCTAAAGACATCAAATGCTGCGCCATTTGCCGAAAATTTTAATGGCGATCTTTCTTGATTAAGAAATTGATCAGATATGGTGCTTCGTATATATCAAATGCTGCGCTTATTGCCGAAAACTTTTAATGCTGATCAAGAAATCATTGTGAATTAAATTATATAGAAAGTTTTTGGGAAGTAACTAAAGAATACGATAGAAAAAATTGTAATTATTTATTTAAAGAATTAGAGAGAACTGTTCCTCTGGCATTGAACTCGGTTTCACTTTGTAAAATTGGAAAGTTTGCTAGAAGATGTTATAGATTTATGAATGCTTAGCAAAGGCTTTTAGTAGGTGTATAAATAATAAATTAGATCATTTGCATTGTTTTGTGCAAAATTTAAAGCAATCTTTTCAACTATTAAAAGTCCAAACTAAGTTCCGCTCAGGAAAACTATTTTCTGCTCAGAAAAGAACTATATTATTAGTATCATCATACAAAATTTGAGATGATGTAAGTAAATGGTGGTATACCATTTTTCTAAGTGGATACTTTTTCGATTTTTACAATACTCTTCACATATAAATTGTTGATCATCTCTATTGTTTTTAATAAGCTTGATCAACAAATAATATACAAAAATAGATTTTTAATTATGCTATATATATACACCCTCCATAAATACATGCTGTCCTTCAGTCCTGGGTGCATTTATAGAGGTCTGACTGTAATAATAATCACGTTACTAAATTTTGACCCCTGAAATTCTTGGTAATACAAATGTTCACTTTTGTGGTTTATCTAAAAATCCCACTTTAACCAAATATCATAAATAAATACCCATTAAAAGCTTTAAAAAAGAAAGGAAGGCTTAATTAAGAAATATTGGATTCAAAGACCAAACCTGTGAACATTATTCTGGCACTACTAAAGATTGGCATTATGATACTTTTCAAACATTAATTTGCATAATGCGCATGATGATCTTTTCTATAACCAATTTATTTTAAAAGTATAACTAAATAAAAAAATTACTTTAACTCATATAATTCAATTGTGGTATCTGACTCATTTGATCCATTATCACTTTCTTCATCACCTTCCCTAATCTTATCATTTAAATACCCTTTCACTTCCAATTCATTATCTTCATTTTTATCCTCATATATATCAATACTACAAAATTTTTGTGCCTACTGTAATTTATAATTATTATAAATATAAACCAACTTAAACACTTGTTGTGAGGTTAAATGATTGTGTTTTTTGTCATGAATATATGAAAAGGCTGACCAATTGCACTCAGAAGCAGCAGAAGATGAAAGAATCCTTAAAATACATAAAGCAATCTTTGTTAGTTCAGGAGTTGAATATTGGAATTGACTTTTCCACCAAGTTATAGAATCTACAGCATCAATTGATGCTCAACTAAGATTATTAAGCAGAGGCATAAAGTAATTTTTTCAAAAAATTTGTGTAACATCACACATGTTCATTATTCATTGGGCATTTTAAAAAATCCAGTGCGTATTATGCAATTTTGCCCATCTCTAAGCAAGATTAGTCAGTTCAGGGACAACTAATGAAAAATTCCCTTTCCACCATGTTATCAAATTTGCTTCATCTATAGTTGACCATGTTAAAGAATTGTCAAACAAGCCAGTATGTTGTTTATAACATAGTAATTGTGACCAAATTTTTTTTGAGTCATTTGGATAATATTTCATAATAAAAAAAAAATTTTAAATTTTTTTGCATTACATTTATTACTATGTACAAAAAAAATTACATGCGCATTGGAACATCTCTAACTATACTATAACAGGTGGCGAATTTTGAAAATGTTACAAAAATAGTGAGGTTTTATACCCTTATAACATTTGCTAGTAAGTTTAAATAAAAAATCTGGCTGCAACAAATTATTCACTGACTTCTAAATAATCATTTGGTGTAATTATATTTTTTTTGGTAAGCCAATAATAGTTGATGGTTTTTACAGTCATCCACTGTATAACCTCAACTTTCGATAGTCAAGCACAACTTTAAAATCAGCTTGGGATTATGGGTATAAAAATACAATATTTGAATAAATTCATTTATAATAAAATTGCAATAAAAGCTATTTATTTGTTTTTTTTTTACTTTTTAAAATAATAATAATGATAATTATTATTTTTTTAAAATTATTTACTTTTAAATAAATAATAGTATGGTGCGCCGCATCTAAAGACATCAAATGCTGCGCCATTTGCCGAAAATTTTAATGGCGATCTTTCTTGATTAAGAAATTGATCAGATATGGTGCTTCGTATATATCAAATGCTGCGCTTATTGCCGAAAACTTTTAATGCTGATCAAGAAATCATTGTGAATTAAATTATATAGAAAGTTTTTGGGAAGTAACTAAAGAATACGATAGAAAAAATTGTAATTATTTATTTAAAGAATTAGAGAGAACTGTTCCTCTGGCATTGAACTCGGTTTCACTTTGTAAAATTGGAAAGTTTGCTAGAAGATGTTATAGATTTATGAATGCTTATAGATTAGGACTTTCAGGAAAAGCTTTAACATTTGCAGCTGGATGCAGATATATTATCATTGAATGTTGAATGATTGTTATATGCATCACGTGATAAAATTTGATCTATATTAGTTTTCTGATTGGTCAAATTAGTTTGATAGGCGTGCCAAATTTTTTTAATTATATAGTATAAAGGTAAACTCGATAAGTCGGATTGGCTTAACTCGGACAAAATTTTTCAGCCATTTTTTTCAATAATTAAAATCTCTTGATAAGTCGGACAACATATATAAACCTTGTTAAGCTGTAATTCGGACGACTTCACCAGCCAGGTATAATAAATTACTCTTGATAAGTCGGAACACGTGATTTTTATAGACAATCTTTACTATTTTTAGTAACATATATTTCATCATTTTCGTCATTATTTATAATCACATGATTTAGAAATAACATTCTTGTTTGTATCGTAAACAATATATTTCATAAGTTATATCCATCGATTATATCATTTATTATCTCATTGATGATTTAGAAAGAATATTCTTGTTTGTATCATATGCAATATGTTTATATTTACTATCTCATCTTTATATCATATCATTTGATCATTTAGAAAGAACATTCTTGTTTGTATCGTAAACTACATTTTTATTATATATATCATTAGTTATATCATTGTTTATATCATTTAGCAATTTGTAAAGAATATCCATTGTTATATTGCAAAACAATACATTTATGTATTTTTAAAACAAACTAGTATAGATACTTATTTAAATAAAGAATAGTAATTTTTTGTTTATCTTCTGTTTGTTTTATTAAACGGTTATTCTTTTTATTATTTTATAAATAAATATTTTTTTCAAAGTTGGATATTTAAGTTAGAATGTAAAAAATCTATTTTGCCAGTACATCAAACTCTTGCTACTTGGTTAATTATTGAATGTTTTAAGCGTGGTATATAGAACGTTTACAAACAGTTGTGTTGCAAATTTAATAATTAAGTGTACACATGTAAAGTCGATAAGTCGGATTTGGCCTAACTCGGACAAAATTTTTCTCCCCTTTTTTTCAATATTTAAAAAAATTTGGTAAGTCGGACGACATATATAAAGTCGCGATAAGTTGTAAGTCGGACGACTTCTTTAACCAGATAGTAATAAATGACTCGATAAGTCAGACCAGTGATTTTTTCAAATATTGAAAGATAATCCTTACTATTTTTAGTAAATACGCGCAATTATATATTTTGTAGAATTACTATTAATAATAATTTCATCATTTTCATCATCATTTATAATCTTGTTTTGTATCTGACAATGTTCATATTTTATTATCTTTTTTATATCATTAATCAAAAAAATACATCAAAATAAAGGGTTTTTCATATATTTGTTATTTTTTATGATCAAAGTAACAATTTGATTAAATCAGGCAAGTTTGTGTATGAAAGCGTGATTTTTTTCTTCATTTTTTCATATAAAATTCCGTGTTGATCAAAAATTTTTTATTAGTGAGTGACACTTGACCCCCTGTAGATCCGCAATGTCCTGCGACTGCTATGCGAGGAATTTGTCCACTAAGATCATTGCTAAATTTAGACTAATACTCAACCATCATATCTAAATTTGGCAGTAAGGAAAATAATTTTTTAACCAAAATCACGTGAAACCCTTTTTTTAAAAAATTTTATTGCATTTTTGAACGAATCACGAAATCGCGATTTTGAAATTTGTTCGCGTGGCGCAGCAACAGGTGGTCTTTAGACCAAGCCAACCATATAATAATATGCTCTAAAATGAAATGATATTATCATTTTTTCATAGACTAGTTCCAATACATGTTGCTCATTTTTTTACCAGGCCTTGATTAAATTAATCAATTTTATTTTATTTTTTTTCTTGATGGAAACTTGTTATAGTTATTTTGCACCCCGAAAAACACAGTATCTTAGGTTATATTGATATTGCAACCAACAGATTGATTTCACACATTCATTCCAAAAAGAAGCAGACAAATTTCAAAAATGCCTGGACTACATTATGAGAGAGAGCTCGGAAGATAATGTTAAAAAACATATTTGTCCCCTATTACAAAATTTTGAGGCGAGTTAAATTTGAATTTTGTGAACTATTGGTGTGCAGTATGGGAGATTTCCAGCAGTTCCAAGAAAGGGTTAAATAAAACTCCCACAACTATGTTGGGCATCTATTTGTTGCCCTTCTTATGATCTACTTGTACATTGTAGTCTGCTTACACTAACTAAAATGACTAAGCATTTCACCCATTTCACTCTAGAAATTACTTCAATATCACAAACTTTTTACATTAATATATATTAATACTTTTTTTTTGTTAGAAACACAACAAAGATATCAATGATTTCTGGAATAAAGTCGAGTTGGGTATACAACATCTAAAATCACAAAGAATTATATGAACAGTAAGTTTTCCTTGTGCTGAACAACATTTGAATTTTTTCTAACTGACATACATACAGGTACATTGTCATGCCAATGTGAGAGATAAAACACGGGAAATGATGGAAAACATGGCTAAGGAAACACTAGAAGAAGCCAAGGTTTGCTGATGCTATCATGTCAACAAATATTACACAAAACATACTTTGCTTTTCTATATATATGTATTTCTTTCTTCATCATTAAAGAATATTCACAAATGAATATATTCTGAGTTTTCAAGGTATAGCAAAACGAAGAAGAATCCAATAAGGTTGATACATAATTTAAAATTTGATTAGCAAAAATATTTTCTAACCCTTTGATATTCTTTGGATACACAGTTCAGAAACATCAATATGGAGACATATCAAACAGAGGTGGCACTGCACAATTGTTTGATCTAAATGAGGTTAGAAACAAGAAAAAATTGTTGAGTTATCTTTTTTCATCTTAAACATTTCTATTAAAAGCTAATCATATTGTTTATCAGAATGCAGATTTTGTCCATGGAATCAGAAATTATATGAAAGGAATCATAATTGATCCTGAGATAATTATTCAAAGAACTGGTACCAACAACATCTGTGAATTTTTTTAATGAGGCAAGTTTAAAATACATATATCATGAGAAGAGTATTAATTAATTTTTATGTGTAATATTACATCTATTATTTGGCAATAACCTAAACAGGAATTGATTTACATTTACTACTATTTTTTTCTACACGCACTATACGCGCTATATGTATCACTATTACTATATTAATATGTATAGTATTATATGTATATTACTGATCTGCCCATCTCTACACGTCAGCATACATATAAAAAATCATATGTAAGGATTTTTTATTGGGAAAAATGAAAAATGCAAATCAATTTTACAAAACAATAATGATAATATTCTCCTGAGATTTCTTTTGCTGCTACTTCTCCAAAACTCTCCTCACTACTCTCACACTTGGTAAATAAATAAAAAAAGTATATATAATAAGTATTCATTGTATTCACTGTGCAATTTGATCATTTAAAAATATTTAACTTATTCGAATTAATTTGTTCTGTTCGTTCTATTCGTTCTGTTCGTTCTGTTGGTTCTATATATTCGTTCTGTTCATTCTGTTCGTTCTGCTTGTTCTGTTCGTTCTATTTGTTCTATTCATTTTATTCGTTTTATTCATTCTATTCATTTTATTTGTTTCATTTGTTTTATTCGTTTATTTGTTTTATTTGTTTCATTGTTTTATTAGTTTTATTTGTTTTATTCGAATTAATTTGTTTCATTCGTTTTATTTATTTTATTCGAATAGAAACTTGTTGTCATGGAATAATCGTTTACTTATTCTTCAACTTAAGCTTGATAGATTTTTAAAAATTAAAATAAATTTTTTTTTATTCTTGTTTAAAGTTTTATTTTGAATATTAAGATTAATAAAACAAAAAAAAATTTTTAAAAAATAGCAATGTTTGTTTTGGAGTATATGTTATGAAATACTTGTATGCCAATTGAGGAGATAGAGTTTGTATTTTTATATTACATATATTGAACGGCGAAAAATCCGCATATATAATCTTGTGATTATTATAATTTGTAACACCCCAGTGTCTTGCATACCAAAAAAAAAGCTTCAATTTTCCTTTCGTCAAATCGTCAAAATGGCTCTTTGTGAGAAACTAATTTAGTCAGTACTTTCGTCACGTCAATGATTAAAGTCAAAAGCTTCGTCATACATCACTACCGTAACTACCCGTAACTAAATACAACGAAAAACAACAACAATATAAATTAAAAAAAAAAAATATAATAAAAAAAGTATAATTAGGACATTTAATCAATTACAAACATAATTATTTATATATGCACAATATATGATTGTTGACATTAAGTATTATTTCATTTATTTCATTTATTATTATTCATTTTTCTTTCAAAATGGCCTCCCTATAATTAAACCATCAACATACTACAACACATGTAAAAACATAGTACTACTTGATTTATTATTTGATTTTTCCTATGTTTGTGATTATATTTATTATATCTAACGCTTCAATAGTATATTTATTCTTGGGTTTTGATAATAATAAAAAGATAATGACAGATATAGACAGAAATTTATTGTTTAATTAAAATCCTTGGAACATGACATTACCCAATATGAAAATCAAAGTTGAAAATTTTTTCCAATAACTGCTGTGATCAGCATGGCGGAGCATTCGGATCGTGTAAACAAAATAGCCGATTAGTTACACCGCCTACTTTTTATATATAGTATTAGTATGATTTTTTAAAAAAGATAATCAACGAACAATAAACAAATAATTTTAAATCAATATAATGGATTTTTTGAAAGTTTATGTTATCTATCACTTAAAATACTTTTGTAATGTGAAAAGCTTTGTTCCACATCCACTCCACACACCAAAAACTATATATACTCCTAGAAAGATTTGTTGTTTATCAGTCTAATATTTATTAAATCTTTGAAATTTCACTATTTCCACAATAAATACTCCCTTTGTGATCAATTCATCTTCTGGATTTATAAATTCCTTGATATATGAATCTTTTTTGAAATGAAAAAACTCTAATAAATTTGGATTAAAGCATTGAATTTCTTTAAAGAGAGTAAATGCTGAATGTCTATTAATATGTTTACTATATGCAAGTCGAGAAAATATCGGCATTAAAGATTCTTCAATTTTTGTTCTGATATGCACTTACATATTATGCAAATTCATAACAGATACCCGAATTTGTTTGTTCATTTAATTACTTTTATTAAAATTTTCCACATATGTATGTATATTTATTTAATCTCCCTTTCCCGCATATTCATGCACTTACAACTATATTATATAATAAATTTGATTTTTTCCTAGTAAACATACCAATAATCTCTTTATAAACGTCGCACCTATGATATTATTATTTGATTGAACACTTTTGATCTTTACGTAATTAATTCGGATCCTAATTATTAACCATGTTATTGATCTGTTAAAAGTTTATTTTTACTTTCATAATTATATAAACTCCTTGAATCCTTTTTTTTTTTAATTTAGATTTTTTTAAAATCAGATCCTTTAAAAATCTTTTATTATAAAAAAAATTAAACCAATCTACGCTTTGATTAAGTTTAATGGAAATTAAAAAAAAATACGAAAAACAACTATAAAATAATGATGGTAGGTCGTATTCTGAAACTTTGTGTATAATGAAAACACAGATTTAATAAAAAGAAAGTTATTAATGAATCATTAATTCTTTGCTCACATATAAACAGGAAAGTTATTATTGTTTTCTTTCGATAATAAATAAAAATAAATCTCTTTTCACCACTGCAAAGTTATCTAATTCCAAAATCATTACTATTTACGTACCTGATCTTGGATATGCACAAACACTCCTGGAAAATAAAAATAAAAATAACAATAATAATCTAAATTCGGATTCAGATTTACCAGGTCCTCAGCTGCTTTTTTATCTTACCTTATTAAATGAACTCGCACAACAAATTCCTAATTTTGATATTAATAATGTGGAATTGGCAAAAATTTTTACTAATTCTTGGAGAAACGCCAGCACTGAATTCACGGACGAATTTATTATTCTGGCAGTTAAACTTGGACTCGATTAAATATCCAACTCGAATGTTGGAAATTGGTTAATCGTCGTCATTAAAAATCGAAAATTCAAACATAAACAAAAAAATTTTTTAATCGTTAAACACCAATAAATAATTGTTTCCTCGAAAAATAAATTTATTTTAAATTTAATTAAGATTTTTAATTATGAACTACTTTGATTTTTTTATTAATTTGAGATTGTTATTATTTAATATTTTCTAAATCTTTTTCATTTTATTGTAAATGCGAAAAGATTTTCTTTCTGCCGATTTCCATGTGTTATTACAGTACATTTTAAGCTTTTAAACATACCTGAAACATTGTTTATCAGACTGTTACAATTATATTTTACTATATGTAGTATATATTTATATTTTACTATTTGTATATAGCATAAATTGAATTTATTTTGTACTACATTCAATGGAATTATTATGAATTTTAAAAAAGTTCAATAAGGAAAGGTGCATTTATTTATTTTCTATAATGGTAAAAGCTTGGACCAATTAAAATTATCTCATGTGTATCATATGCTTGCCTATAACGGCAAAGTTTAACACAAAGATCTTATAAGTGAAATGTTATCCCTTAAAGGAAATGAACCAAACGGAAAAATTGCATTTTTATGCATATCATCATCCATTTATAATTAATTATTTTTTCTGGAAAATAAATAATGCGCAAAAAAATGTATCCAAAAAAAATCCAAAATTTTTGTTTTTTTGAAATTCACAATTAGAAAAAGTTGTTATCCTGTGATTGATATCTGGTCTAAAACCGCAAAGTATGCAAAGATACTTGTTCTAATAAATAAGGTTACTTGGTGAGAAAAACAATTTAGAATACAGATATTTACTTTGATTTGTACTAAAAATTTCTTCTAAATTTTGACAAAATCCTTTAAATATTACAAAATTAATTATTATTACATAGGTAAACTCGATAAGTCGGATTTGGCTTAACTCGGACAAAATTTTTCAGCCCTTTTTTCAATAATTAAAATCTCTTGATAAATCGAACAACATATATAAACCTTGTTAAGCTGTAAGTCGGACGACTTCACCAGTCAGGTATAATAAATTACTCTCGATAAGTCTGAACACGTGATTTTTAATAGACAATCTTTACTATTTTTAGTAACATATACAAATTATTTCATCATTTTCGTCATTTTCGTCATCACATTTTTGATGATTTAGAAATAACATTCTTGTTTGTATCGTAAACAATATATTTCATAGGTTATATCCATCGATTATATCATTTATTATCTCACTGATGATTTAGAAAGAATATTCTTGTTTGTATCATATGCAATATGTTTATATTTATTATCTCATTTTTATATCATATCATTTGATCATTTAGAAAGAACATTCTTGTTTGTATCGTAAACTACATTTTTATTATATATATCATTAGTTATATCATTGTTTATATCATTTAGCAATTTGTAAAGAATATCCATTGTTATATTGCAAAACAATACATTTATGTATTTTTAAAACAAACTAGTATAGATACTTATTTAAATAAAGAATAGTAATTTTTTGTTTATCTTCTGTTTGTTTTATTAAACGGTTATTCTTTTTATTATTTTATAAATAAATATTTTTTTCAAAGTTGGATATTTAAGTTAGAATGTAAAAAATCTATTTTGCCAGTACATCAAACTCTTGCTACTTGGTTAATTATTGAATGTTTTAAGCGTGGTATATAGAACGTTTACAAACAGTTGTGTTGCAAATTTAATAATTAAGTGTACACATGTAAAGTCGATAAGTCGGATTTGGCCTAACTCGGACAAAATTTTTCTCCCCTTTTTTTCAATATTTAAAAAAATTTGGTAAGTCGGACGACATATATAAAGTCGCGATAAGTTGTAAGTCGGACGACTTCTTTAACCAGATAGTAATAAATGACTCGATAAGTCAGACCAGTGATTTTTTCAAATATTGAAAGATAATCCTTACTATTTTTAGTAAATACGCGCAATTATATATTTTGTAGAATTACTATTAATAATAATTTCATCATTTTCATCATCATTTATAATCTTGTTTTGTATCTGACAATGTTCATATTTTATTATCTTTTTTATATCATTAATCATGTTGCTAATTATCATCTCATTTGATTATTTAGAAAGAACAAGAACATTCTCGCTTGTATCATAAACAATACATTATATTTTTAACTCATAAATTATATCATAGGATATATATCATAGGATATATATCATTGATTATATCATTTATAATTTTGAAAGAAGAAAAACATATCATAAACAATACATTTATATTTTTATTTCATTATATCATAAGCTGTATCATTGACTACATCACTTTGATGATCTAGAAAGAATATTGTATTGCAAAACAATATATTTATATATTTTTTAATTATGTTCTGAAATATGTATAAAAAGATTGACTTTCCGACCTTCTGAATTTCTAATAAAAGATCAATATACAAATCAATAATAAACCTATTTTACACTTGTAAAATTTATAAAATTAAAAATTAAAACTATAATTATGGATATAGAAAAAACATCTAGTAAATTTGGAAGCAAAAAAGGAAGAAAATTAGTTACTCTTACCAATGTTCAAAAAAAAAGAATTATGTGAATATAACATCAACAATCCAACAAAAACATATGAAGAAATTGGCAAAAAATTTGGTATTGGTAAGTAAACTGTAGGAGATGTTCTTGGAGAAAAAGAGAAATAGCTTGCAATTACTGAAAGTTCAATTGATGCCAATAAAAAACACAGTCATGGAGGTGATTGGCCACAGTTAGAAGAAGCATTGGCAATTTGGGTGAATCTTGCCAATGAGGCTAACCATACAATAACTGGTGCAATCTTGAGTCAAAAGGCAACACAGTTTGCTCAAAGGCCAAATATTTCCGATTTTAAATCATCACAAGAAAGTATAAATTTTTTTGAATGTAATATGTAGTTGTGTAGTTGCATCATAGTAAAATTCGTGTCATGTACACTCTACCCTTAAAATAATAGATATTTAAATAAGTAACTAGTTATTGGAGTGGATAATTTTTTTGTTGTTGAACACTAAAATTAATAATTAATAATTAAATTTCATCGGCTCATTGCTAATATAAATAATCCTATATATTTATTTTTTTTAAAAAATTTCCCATTTTTTAAATGTTGCTTCTGATATTGCACCTTCTTTTAAACCAATTACTACTATATTACAATGGAAATTAGAAAGATTAGGCGATTTATATAAAACAATGTCACTTAAAACAAGACCACCTGTCAAGTAGGTGAAGAGCATCCTGTTGTTGTTTTATGACCCTATTATACATTAATTTATATATTTCCAATTCTGAAAAGCCTTTTTCATTTACATTTTTGTTTTTTGCTTGACAGAATACATTTATGATATTATCTCTTGTAGCCTCCTTTTCTTTTCTCTTCAAATGTTTAATTACTGCATCTACAACCTTTATCATTCTCACTACATCAATGCTAATATCACATAAAATAGGTTTTTCCTTAGTATGCCTGATGTAGTTGTCACATATTTTACATTGAGGAAGTGGTTGGTCATTTGGCCATGAGTAATAACTAGATAACATCATTTGGCGACAGGTATAATGCTCTTCACAATAATAGATCATTTTAAATATTTCTTTTTGCTTATTTAGCAAGTAGTTAATATGGTCTGCTTCTCTGGATTCATCAAAATTAGGACAGAAATTACTGGCCTCCTCCATATTTTGTTGATTTTTAATAGAACTACAAAAATATATAAGGCTGGTTTAATTAATTATATATGTTTTTTATATAAAAATTGAGAATAAATATCACCCTTCTCTTCCGCCCGTAACAATAGAGTATATAGATCGTATGTCATTTCTTGAGAAAACCAAACACTTTTTGATTGGATTTTATCTCTTCCTGCACAACTAATTTATTGTATCAAGTTTCCTATTTGAAAAATAAATATTAGAGATTTTATTCATATATATTTCCAAATGATTTTTAATTACCCATGCTCAGAGGAAAGATGTTATGAATTACAAGTTGAATGTCAGGTGTATTTATTCCCATTCCAAAAGCATTTGTTGCAATCATAAGTTGGATTTGACCATTTTTCCACTTTTGAATTGTTTGTCATTTTTGCAAACCATCTAACTCTCCATGATAAGTATCAATATTATATTTGGTGTCAATTCTACTATTCAATTGTTCCAACATCTCTTCACAATTTTTAACAGTTGCACAATATATTATATAGAGCTCCGAACGAGTCGGGTCAGTGGTACCACCCGACCCGACTCGAACTTTTAAACAGTTGACCCGACCCGTCGGGTCAACGAGTCACAGATTAAGAAAATTACAAATGTAGATATATTAATTGATTTAAATATATACAGTACACACAATATGTTCACTATTACTGCCACTTTTAAGAAATCTGTCCAACATCATTGCTTGTTTATTTACATTAACATCAATTTTATTTTTATGATTCTTAAGATGATGACTTAAATTTGAAGTAGAGCCACTATTCATATTATATTTCCCATGTCTTTATTTAATATAATTAACACA